CAATGTTTCTAACTCTCTATCCTTCTCCCTTCCTCTCTGTAAAAAATCAATAAAATATATAAAAAAAATTAAAATACCTTATCAGTGTTTCTTTTAATAGAGTAAGTCAAACTAAAGGGAGAGGGAGAGAGAGATAAAAACATCAATCATGAAAGAAAATCATTGATCAGCTGCTTCCTGCACACCCCCTACTGGGGATTAAGCCTGGCACCTGGGCACATACCCTGACCGGGAATCAAACTGACCTCCTGGTTCATGAGTCAATGCTCAACCACTGAGCCACACCGGCCAGGCAGTTGACTAGTGCTTTGGATTACACAAGTCAAATTCTGATACTTAAAGCTAGCAATATAAGAAATCATAAAAGTATTAGGTCAACTTTGTCATATGCTATTTCAGATGCAGTGTATATGTCTATACACCTGACTGCTTGCTTCATCCTTCGGTTTAAATGAATATGCATTTGAAATTGTCTTTTCTTAGATGGAGATGGAGATGGAGATGGAGCAACTGGAAAGAAGAAGAAAAAGAAGAAGAAGAAGAGAGGACGTTAGTGTCTTAAGTTAATCTTACTTGACAGATTAGAAGTGGTTATTAAGCAGTGGGTTTGAAGTTGCTTAAGATCTTGGGATATGTCAGGGAAATAAATTTAGGCTTACTAGAGGTAGGATTTAGTGATATAAATATTTTGCAAGTACTTTGGTATAACAATCTTGATGGCATTTTTTTTTAGCTGATATTCAGCTAAGGGATAATAGTAATAGATTGGTTGAAGTTACTGCAGTTAGGGATGAAGTCTTAAAATCTTGAATAATTCAAATAATGAGTCTGTTGGGGATGACTAAAGTACCACTATGTGGTAACAGGGTAAACAAATTTTGCAGTTCACCTGCCAGCTTTGAAATTGTGAAATTCTTAATATTTAATGAAGAGCCCCATTATTTAAAATTTGTGCATATGGTGAAATTCTATTAATAATGTTTATATTCCACTTATTTCAGATTTACTTAAAATATCATCCTACTTGTGTTTGTTTTTGAAAATGGCATAATCAAACATCTTCAGGGACCTAAAACTCTATTAGGCAGACTAAAGAGGACGACTAAAGAGTATTGGGGAATAAAAGTTGGGTTGAAAATCAGAACAGTTATTATCTTAGACGAGCCAGCCCCCTTGAACTATTGGGGGCCACTGAGTTCTGGTTATATCTTTTAAATCTTTCAGGCTAAAATTTTATGAATCAGAATATTGGGGACTTGACTTCCCTTTTTATCTCTGTGTTGCAAGAAATACTTAAATTATTGTTTAAGAAAGATAATGGCTCTGCCAGCCATTTTCCTGATATGTCTCCAGGTAGAGATGGGATAGTCTTCCTATTAGGCATGCATCCATGTTAGATCCTTCTATTCAAAGATGTCAGTCCTGCCCCTAGCGTAGTCTGTATTTAATGAACATAGGTTACTTGTATTCCAGAAATCTTCTAGAGATTATGATATATTTCTTCGATTCAAAAATTGTTAAAAGTGTGCCCGTGAGACATGTATTACCTGACAATGGCTTGAGATAATATCTATTTCTCTAAATACTCTAAAATTGTTCCCTAGTAAAGGTACATAAACGGGGAGGAGTGTTAAGGGGCTGCCTTGTATTTTATTTGCTCTTGGTAGAATTCTTCCACTGCCACCAGCCTTTATTGTGCCTCCTCTGAGGATATTGTTGAACTTACTGTTGTTATATTTCTTTATGAGCACTCTCAAGAGAGATTTTTTTGTCTGGTCTTAATGTTAGGAATAATTGCGCTTTTCCTGAGTAATGACTGTTTCATCTCAGAAACATGAACTATGCAAATAACGTAGAGTTTTTTTATGTTTTGTTTTTTATTTTTTTATTCTAGAAGGCCTAGAGCAGCCGTGGGCAAACTATGGCCCGCGGGCCGGATCCGGCCGTTTGAAATGAATAAAACTAAAAAAAAAAAAGACCGTACCCTTTTATGTAATGATGTTTACTTTGAATTTATATTAGTTCACACAAACACTCCATCCATGCTTTTGTTCCGGCCCTCCGGTCCAGTTTAAGAACCCATTGTGGCCCTCGAGTCAAAAAGTTTGCCCACCCCTGGCCTAGAGCCAAATCTGTGGTTTTGTATTGGCCTCATTTCAGGTTCTGTTTCATGTTCTTACCATGTTTTGATTTTTGCTCTCTCATTTACTTTGATGCCTCTAATTTGTGTATTTTAGATATTCTTGTAGACCAGTGGTTCTCAACCTTCTGGCCCTTTAAATACAGTTCCTCATGTTGTGACCCAACTATAAAATTATTTTCGTTGCTACTTCATAACTGTAATGTTGCTACTATTATGAATCGTAATGTAAATATCTGATATGCAGGATGGTCTTAGGCAACCCCTGTGAAAGGGTCATTTGACCGCCAAAGGGGTCGCGAACCGCTGTTGTAGACTATCATTAATCACTTCTGGAATAAACCAAGTAATGTACATGGGCAGTTTATTATCCTCATCTAGAAAGAGAGAGTATTATAAGTAATAGTTAATGATAACTGTAGTACAGATTATTTTAATTATCCATTGTTTTAGATCAGTGGTCGGCAAACCGCGGCTCTTTGGCCCTTTGAGTGTGGCTCTTCCACAAAATACCACATGTGGGCCCGCACATACAGTGCAATTGAAACTTTGTGGCCCATGCGCAGAAGTCGGTTTTCGGCCTGGGCGAGTCTATTTTGAAGAAGTGTCGTTAGAAGAAGTGGGGGGTGTTGGTCGGGCGACGGGAGACGCAGCGCACGTTGGCCACGGGATACACAGCGCGGGGGAGGTACATTGTTTTGAGGTATGTTCGCTGAGGTCGACCCCTTCCAACTCTCCCATCCACACTC